GTAAACACTCAATATTACCTCTGTGGCAACAATATATCATTGCAACTCTTTATTTAGGATAGACGACATGAGCACCGACAGAGATATTAGAACCTCCTTAATCTGATCTAAGGACTTCTTCTGTAACTCGCCCCATTCGAACTTATCTAAGGACTTCAAAATTTCTTTTTTATTTTATATTGTACATGATATTGCTGGTTTACATTTGTTTATTGAAGGATGATTGGTTTATAGATCGAGCTGCAATCACATAGGAAATTAGGATATAATATGCTTTGGTTCCTAATTCATGGATATAATACCATGTATTTTACGACATGTTTGAATATACATACTCGTATTGTTCTAGTTGCAAAGCTTTACACTTCTAATGTCTGTGTTATGGCATGTTATACATACAGTTTGAACGTCTGTTGATATATACGGCTCAATATACTCAAAAATTGCACTTGTGGATGCTGTAGGTGAGACACTTTCCCTGGTCAAGGTCTTCGTGACATCCGCCTCAGTCCCGGACACACACCTTATTTTGCTGACCATTGCTGGGGCGACTATCCTTCGCGATGTCGTCGGTGAAGATCCTACTGAGTGGAACTACAAGGACGTACGGATCTACTTTCATACCTTTCTTGTATTGCCTTCCAAAATTTATAAGAAATATGACTTAAACTAATCTTTGTGTTGGCAATTGCAGCTCATGCGCCGCCCCTGAAACGTATCCACCGATTCACCCATGTTAGTTGCCCCGTTTGTCTTATGGATTGTATGTTGTACCTGTTTTTGGATGGATTGTGTTGAGGCTCTTTGAACTATATGTTGAATCGATGCATAGACCATTGGAGTTTTAATTCGTGTGGTGAAAGATATGGTTATGGATTGATGGATATCCGTACTTGCTTATTATTAGGTTTGGTGTTTGAACTGTTAAGCACGTTTTTCGGAACAGGATGTTGCGTTGTAGTGCTTGCTAGGCTTGTTTTATGGGTTGCTTTACTTGGTTGTTAGGTATGGAGATTGTCCAGTAAAAACTATGGTGTCCATGTGGCTTAATGTTGGGTTTAATTTATTTACTATAAATTAATGTTTGCAAGTATTGCCAATGATGATGTTTATAGCATTATGTGTATGCGGAATTTTTTTCGGTATTGGGGAGATCACAGCAGGTCATTTTGTTACGCACAATTTTAATTGCAGTGTAACTACTATTTTTCATAGCATGCTATTTCTGCGTAACAAAAGGATGAAATACCGTGACAAAAAGTGGTCCTTGGATATTTGTTGTTTCAGGTTGTTCCGTGACTATAGGAAAGTATATTTTTTATTACGGGTTCAATGTCGTTACAAATATTCGTAACAAAAACCAAATATGACAAGCAATCACAGGAACATTTTTGTAACGCGACAACCTTTCGTAACAAATATCGTAACTAAAATCTCTGACACACGTGCGGAAGGATCGACATTTGGTTACGAGAGGAAATTCGTAACAAACAGGTAACAAAAACCTTGCATTAGGAAGCGTTGACCGACAATAATAGTTACGAATAATGGCGTGGCAAAAAACATTTGTTACGCGAGTACACATTACGGAAAAAATTCGTAACGAAGGCATAGCAAATACGCAAATTGTATGAAAAATGGCTTTTTGTTACGATTTTCCGGCTGTAGTAGAAAACAGTTTTTTTAGTAGTGATAATACCAAAAATGCTTTTATGACAACACTAGCAATGAACCTCCTTGTAGGAAATTGATCTTTCCTATGAAGCTTTGTAACTCCTTAATATTTCTAGGCGGACAAAGCATATAAATAGCTTTTTCTTTGTTGGTTTCTACCTCAGTTCGTTTATACTGCACTAGAAAACTAAAACATTTTCCCGCTTGAAAACCAAACGCATATTTGGCTGCTATCATCTTTAAATATTGTTGCCCGCATCCGAAAAGATTTTTGCAAGTCGGTCAAATGCTCGTCAAAATTCCTAGATTTCACCAATACATCATCTATATATACCTCCATAGAACTTCCAATAAGGTTATGGAAAATTGCGTTCATTGCCCGCTGAAATGTAGCACTTGCATTTTTTAGCCCAAAAGGCATCACAATCTATTAAAAGATGTCAATGGCTCCGGGACATCGGAATGATGTCTTATGGATATCTTGTTCAGCAATATAAATCTGGTTATACCTAGAATATCCATCCATAAATGATAAAATCAGGTACCCTACGGTAGCATCTCATCCTTAAGTGTGCTTAAATTTAAGTTTCTAATATCTATACACACCCTCAACTTTCCGTTCTTCTTAATCACTGGTACAAATATTCGATATCCACTATGGATAAGGAAGTTTTATGCACAAAGGACCCATGAAATCGAATGTACATACACTGTGTCTCATAAAAGTACTTGAAATTTTGGTTGGGTAAACTTGAAAAGAAAAAAATTGACACAAATTTTGAATTGATTTCAAGAGAACGTGAAATAGTTGATTGATAAAACATGAGTAAATTGAAAACTTTAGGGGTTTTAAAACCTCCTCGGTGGACTTGTAAAATTTGAAAGTATAGAGACTAAAATAAGTGACTTTCCATAAATGCATGCTCCAGTTGTTAGAATATGGCAAATATAGCCTTACAAAATGAGACCATTGCGCTTAAAGATTCCTAAACCTAAAATATGATGAGACTATCGAGATTGCAATAAATCTGACTATAATATAAGAACTAAAATAAAAGCAATAAAAATTAACTAGAAAAACATTCCAAATCAAGGAGTTCGCCAAGTAATTTTTATTCTTTTTATTAGGAGTGGACAAAAATGATATTGTGAAGGATATACTATTTTTAGTATGTTTTTTCCTCTTCACGCTGAATTTTTGTTTATCCTTGAACAAGTGTCTCCGACATTAGGATTTCCATTGCCAACATTAAAAGGTGCCAAATCCTTAATTCGTGAATCACATAACATGGAAAATCCCTCCACATACTTCTTTAATTGTATTATATTGAAAATAAAATCATTATGATCCTCCAAAGAATTTGGATTGCAGTTTAGCACATAACCACTTGATAGCAATTGTTTTACAAAGTAAGGCCTAGTCCTTTGCAATTTGAGTTTCTTGGTAATAAATATTGTATGGAATGTAGAGTAAATGTTTGTCTTCTTCAAAAAAGTGGTTGGGACTAATCTTTTTGTCTTATGATGACATATTTTTTATTTAAATTCAGATGTGAGATAGGATGGGTAGATAATGTGTATTGTGTTGTAGCTCAAAAGTTTCATCAAATAATATAAAATTCTCATGTTAACTGGTGAGTGCCAAAGTCGAACTTAACACACTAATTTGAGGGAAAACTTAAGTTGGATAATAGTGAGAGTTTATAAAATTAAATTTGAGATTTAATTGCATTGAAACAAGAATTTAAATTGCGAGAATTCAAAGTATAAAAAATATATGAAATTATTAAATAGGGTGAAGAATGGTTGCTTAGCATAAGATGGATGTTCAGGAGGTCAGGATGATGGCGATGGATTAGATGTTCAATAATGTGCATAGATAATATTAATATAATTTTTCAGGGTAAGAAAAGGTAGTGGTGGATGGTTGCAATGGAAATATGTTTTCGATATACATACTTCATACAAGAGAGTGTTGCATGTAAGAGATCACGTAAGATTCTTATCTGCTAGTCACATTGCATTCACAATGGTTCGTTAAGGCCTAGAGGTAATCATAGTAAGACAAATTAAATCCTTAATGGTTGTACTAATAATTCATTTCTAAATTCATTATTAAAGGTCATGCAAGTTGTTCTCCTCAACACTCGTGACTAATTAATCAAGAGACTAGTTCACTGCCTAACTATTGTCAATTCATCTAAGCAAATTATGCCCTATAAGTCGCTTTCACAATATGTCATAGTTCAACCTATTAGTGTGTAATCCTTTCTGAACCTTCTAAGTAAATTTAACTAAGTGACTTATATTTGCCTTTACTCATTGTTGATGCCCTGCGCATCAAGATAGTAGTCTTATGCTAATGCATCCAAGAGAGAGGTGATGTGAAGAAACATAAATTTCATTAATTAACATCAAAGTTCACGTTTACACTATGAATTGAACATTGAAACCTATAACTTTATCTAAGTGCAAAAGGTAAATGGGAGGAGTGGCGAGCACATGGCTTATGGTACAAATACTGCTGACCACCCGAGCTAGACTTTTGGAGGAACTTCTTACAACTTGAGCTCTCCTAAAATGGTTGCATTTATGACAATGAAATTTTTATAAATGAGCTCGACTCAACCCCTATTTAAAGGCACAAATAGAGCATCTAGGAAGATGGTGGTTACGCTCTGTCAACTCGTACAATGTTTCTGAGCAGTCAAATCTAGCAGTTTATTTCTATAATTAATTGGAATTTGATAGTATCTAGAATAACCATCTAGAATATAGTAGAACTTATAGTTATTTAATTTCTCCGAAAATTGATCAAAAAATGGTAGTAAAAAATGATCCTCGTAAGTAGCCGTGTTCAATCTCCTACAATCAACACAAACTCATCATCCAATTATAGGTATGGATATGAATATTTCCCCTTTATCATTAAACTCCTCTACAAAACTAACTTTCGGGAGCACCACTTAAGTAGAACTTAGCCATTTGTTGCCATAAATTGGAAAAATCTTTTTCATGCTAACATATAATAGTTTTGTTACCTTTTAATGCCCCAGTTTTGCAATATATAAAATAATATTATTACATCAAATAAATATTTTGATAATTTTAATAGAAACAATAAATTAATATTATGAAATAAATTATAATCTTATTTTGTATATCGGTTATATTTGATGAGATATTTGAATGAATAAATACAAATAATGATATACATTGAATTTTCTTTTATTTTTCACTTTTTAAAAAAATATATTATTATTTTTAAAAAAATGGTAATTCAAAAATAGTATAAAAAGAAGAACTGTTGTATTGGTTATTTGTTGAAATTATAATGCAATTCATTTATTTATTTATAATAATAATACAACGTATATACAAAATAATAAACTATGGTATCAACAACAAAACAACAAGAAAGAGATGGCTCCGACTTGGTGACCGTCTTGGGGAGCCTTGACTGGATGGACGACATGTGGGATGGGATGCCTACAGGGCGCTCAAGGGCATTGTTGGTTGACCGGGGCAGCGGGACCGTACTCGCTGTTGGGTAGATTGTCCTTCTCCTACATTCCCCCTCCCTCACGTGCCTGCCCTTCACTCTCCATGTGTTTTTCATTCTTTTATTTAACAACTAACTAACTAACTACACATACACACGAGCACTATATACATTATATACGCACATATATACAATACTATTTATATATATATATACACAATACTATGATGATCAAGGAGCCCGCCTGGATCGGATCCTGACGAGAAGCGGATTCTCCATCTCGCACGACAGCCTGAGCACCTCAGACATGTCGACGTGGACGGCGGACACAAACTGGAAGTGTTGCAGCAGTGTAGCTACCCAGAGGCCGACCGTGCAGAGCCCTATTGCCTTCCCGGGGCAGGATCTCCGACCCAATCCGAAGGGGGCGAGCCGGGGGTCGTTGAGGTCGTGCAGGCCAACTCCGGCGCCGCCCTGGAGAAATCTGCGTGGGTTAAAGGCCAGTGGGTCGGGCCAGAGGTCCGGATCCCGGCCGATGGCCCACATATTGACTATGGCGGTGGTTCCACGTGGCACCTTGTACCCGTCAACCACCGTATCTCTGACGGACAGACGGGACCAGGACAGAAGCGGGCCAGGCGGATGTAACCTGAGCACCTCCCTCACCACTGCGCTCAAGTACTTCAACTCCGTTAGGTCTGACTCCGTCACCGTACGACCGCCGACGACGCTGTCCAGTTCTCGGTGGACCTCGCACTGCACGTCAGGGTGCAATACTAGCCTTGCCAGGATCCATTCTATTAGCACTGCCACTGTGTCTGTTCCCCGGAATATCATTTCCTGCAATTATTTATTATTACTATTATTATTATACATTAAATTGATCAATCGAATCGTATGTCATTTCTTTCTAAATAAGAACTCGAGAGCTAGCGTGGACTTATCTGTATGTAATTCGAAGTTGCCGGCTGGCCTGCAGAAGGGCATCTATGATCTCATCTCATTAATTGTTTTTTGGACAATAGTTATTGTGTACCACTCGCACATTAGTTGAAATGGTATTATGCAGTAGTATTATATATGGATGCGAAGACAGATACTAAGGCCATCTCCAACCTGGCGCCAGGGTGGTTGATTTTGGAGAATCTTGCGTCATTGTTTTAGCGTTGCTATAATCCAACGCTAATTTTGGTATTGCATTGTAGCAACACAAAAAAATAATGTTGCTTTCTATTTTTTATTTTTATTTTTAATTTTTAATTTTAACTTTTAAATTTTGTTTTTTATTTTTCTAAATTTAAAAGAAAAGTTATTTTAAATTATAAAAATAAAAATTTGTTTAAAATAATAAGAAATTTTGAATATTCGAAAAATAATAGTGAAAAATAGAATTATAATTAGAGTAAAATTAGCATATTTAGAGTTAAAACTGAATAAACAGAGTTATGAGCTAAACATAAACTAAGTATATAGTGACAATATTGATCTTTAAAAGGCAGGTAGGAGTGAGAGGCAAAATGTGATGCGTACTCACCCAAAGGACGGATGTCATGTCCGAATCCGACAAGCAGTCAAGAGAAAGCAGCACGTCGACAAAATCATCAACGCCACCTCCCAGCTCGAGCTTGAGCTTGTGGTCAGTGATTATCCCACCGACGAAGCGATTCACCCTGGGCACCAGCTGCGAGCACTTCATTCGACCCTTTTGTATGTCCAATTCGGCCAAGAAAGGCAAGTGATCCGACCAGTTGAGTTCCCCCAATAAATCGTAGCCTTTTTCCACCAAGTCCCTCAGCTCAGAATCGTCGCAATCGACGTCATACCTCCTCCCAAATACACACCACATCATGCTGCTGAGGGAGGCCCATTTCAGCACCTCCCGCACACGAACATCAACATCGCGTCCTTTCCTCGAATGGAGCATGCCCACCATCTGCTTCCCGATTTCGCGCCGCTGCTGCTCCGAGCCTCTCATCTGTCTCGGGCTAAACAGGTGCGCCGCCGCAATTTTCCGAAGCGTCGTCCAGTACACGCCGTAGGGCGCGAACCCCATGGCGCGGTTGAACATGAGGTCGTAGGCGGATTCCTTGGCGGGCCGATCCGTGAAAGCCGAGCTGTGGAGAATATGTTTTGCGACGTCTGGGTGTGAGGTGACGACGGCGCGTGTCTGACCGATGCTGAAGGCCATGAGACGTTTAGCCCCGCAGGCTTGGGCAGCGGCGGCCAAGTTGCGGTGGGCGAGGCCCGACATAAGGGTCATGGCGCCGATGATGGGAAGTCCTCTGGGGCCTGGAATGGGGCGGGCGTGGGGGCGAGCAGTCTTCCATTTCCAGTAGAGCTTTCCCCATGCGGGGCCGCCTGGATAGGCCCAGAAGAGCAGGGCGAGAAGAAGCCATGGAAGAGGGAGAAGAAAGAAGAAAGCGTTGAGTGATTGGCGTTTGGAATTGGAGGCAAGATGGAAGAGCCAGATGCCGTCCACCACTCCGAGCCTCGTGCCCATTTTTATTTATTTAATTTTTATTTTTATTATTATTATTATTATTGATACAAATTACTATGGAGAGGAGATTTTGGTTGAGAATGGAGTAGGCAAAGAGCAGGTTTATATAGAATTGATTGCTGATGCGAGGGCTGATGTTATGTGTATATTTTATTGTATTGATTGTACAGCAGCGGAGCGGGAGGATACTCCCTCCGTGCTGACCGTCGTACTATAATTGTGTACAATTACCGTTGGTTTACGTGTACTACAATGGGTCCAGCCCCATCCCGCATTTGATGGAACCATCTGAAATTATGATTTTAATAATTGATTCAGGTTTTGTTTGATTGTAATATTAAAATTATTATCATTATTAATAATTCTTTACGTAGTTTTAATGGGAATGCATATAATACTCTTTTAATAAAATATCAATAAAAATATAAATTAATATTTTATTTTAAATTATAATTAAATAATTATTTTATATTTTATTCGTTTTATTATAAATGATACATTTGATTATTATTATTATTTAATTAGTTAATAATAATAAGTTATAATATTATTTTATTATTATTTTATTTTTATGTAAAGGATATTGATAATAATTTTAAAATGAAAAATAAAATACATAATTAAAAAAATCTAAAATGTACAGTATTTAAATATTTTAAAAATTATAGTGTCTTAATAAAATATATGTAATATCGATATCATTTGGTATTAATAAAATTTTATATAACACAAATAAATAAAAATTATATATTTATTTATTTATGATTAACATAAACTAATTTTATAAAAAAAAAATTGAAGTTAGAGTAGTTGATTTAGTTACAATGGAAAAAATCAATAGTGATCGTAATATAATTCAAATATATCAATTTTAATTCAAATATAAAAATTTATAGGATATGTCATTTTGAAAGAATTTGCCTAAAATTCTGCTATTCATAAAAAAAATCTTACAAACATCCAATTACACAACTATTTTTTATTTTTTTTATATTATACTCCGTCCCTCCCAAACACCTGCAACATTTCCTTTTTTATTTGTCCCAAATTCACTACAACATTTTCAAATTTAGAAATAATTAATAATATTTTTATATATATATTAATATACACTTCACTTTATCCCATCACATCACTCAAATAAAAAAACAAATATTCATTTCTCTCTCCAATCACATCACTTAATATCCGAATTATCTCAAACTACCATATATAATACCCCCCACCTAAATTTCCGTGTCAAACACAAATGTTACACGGTGTTTGGGACGGATGGAGTATTAAAATTTTGTTTTACATTTCAATACAATTTCAACGTAAACATATATAATTGTATTGAAATGTAAAATTAATTTTTAATACTATAATATACTATAAAAATAAAGAATAGTTGTTTAGTTGAATGTTTTTAAGATTTTTTTTTTTGGTAAATAGTAGAATTTTAGGCAAATCTTCCAAAAGAAGATACTCGATATTTTTTTTATATTTGAACTAAATTTGATAAATTTTACTTATATTAGAATACTATTGATTTTTTTTTCCATTTTAATTATATCAAAATATTTTTTTTAAAAAAGAACAAAATATAAAGTTCATTGAAATATATACGGCCGTGTGACAACATGACCGTATATAATTGTACATGGTCGTATAGTTTGCAGGTCAGTTACCATGTCATCTCCGCTACGTCCATATCAGAAATTTCCATTAGTTTTTTAATGGTGGAACCAAAATTGATTGAAATTGTTTATAACGGGACTAAAATTGATGAATTTTTTATATTGAGACTATAATTAATAAATTTTATTATATTGGAACCAAAATTAATTTTGTTCTATTAAAATTGATAAATTTACTTAAAATACAAATATATCAATTATTACCGAAAAAAAAAAGTCAATCATGATGAAACAAAAAGATCTATTTACAAAACTATTCACAATTTATAATTTACATTATAAAAAATTCAAATTTTAACTTCAAAATCCACATAATTCTATTTACAATACTTTAAAATTTCGATACAATTTATCTTATTTCGAAAAGAATGACTTCATATATATATATATTATTATAACACGCAACAGCTACGTAGACGAGATGTGGATGCTTTTATAATCATTCATAAACCGCCTCATTTGTCTATATATATGCATGCAAATGATTAAATGAATTGAGAACGAAATCCTTTTCCCCCCTCTATCTCTCTCTCCATTCATAAACCGCCTCATTTGTCTATATATATGCATGCAATTGATTAAATTAATTGAGAACGAAATCCTTTTCCCCCCTCTATCTCTCTCTCCATTCATTACTTTCATCTCTCTGCATTTATTACTTATACATACATAATATATATTATATAATATAATAATACACATACATACATATATATTTACTTATCTACTTATATATATATTATATACAATATATAATATAATACAAAATATAAAATAGTGGTTAGCGGTAGAAATTATTAATATTTCTATTGGCTAATCCTATAATAATATCACAACACGTTATCAGCACGATTATATATTTTATTTTCCGCAAGGTAATATTTCATATTTTATCTGTTTATTATGACTAACCTTGCCAAACAGGAATTTCTCCCTCTCCTCGTTTCTGGCCAAAATTATATGGCATGGGCTCGCGATGTTAAAATGCATCTGGCATCAATGGGTTTGGAAAATACCGTTGCCCGGGATAAAAACTCCCCGAGCCAAGATCGTACAAAGGCCATGATCTTTTTGTACCATCACATTGATGAGACACTGAAAATGCAGTATGTTACGCTGGAATCCCCACTCGAATTGTGGGAGAGGTTGAAAGAAAGATATGATCATTTGAGGCTGACATTGTTGCCAAGGGCACGAAGCGAATAGCAAAGCCTACAGCTTTAGGACTTTAAAGCAGTCCAAGAATATAATTCTACAATGTTTAAAATAACATCATAGCTGCGCCACTGTGGTGAAAATGTATCTGAATCTGATATGATGGAGAAAACTTTCTCCACTTTTCATGCATCTAACATGGTTTTGCAGCAGCAGTATCGCGAAAGAGGCTTCAAGAAATATTCTGAGCTAATCACCTGTCTTTTGCTGGCCGAACAAAATAATGAATTGCTGTTGAAAAATCACGAATCTCGGCCGACAGGTGCAAATCCATTTCCAGAGGCAAATGCAATATAGCCGGCAAATCCGGTGCGTGGTCGTGGGCAAGTCAGAAATCAAAGAATTGATCGTGATTGAAATCAGAGTCGCAGACGGGGCTGAGCAAACGCATACAGTCGTAATAATTATCAAAACAGGCCCCGATATGTGCCAAATTGGCGTTATAATGACAGAAGGACGTACAGACCTCAACAGAGGATCAACACCGGGAGAAACAGAAAAAATGACGATGAATGCACCCGGTGTGGAATCAAAGGCCATCGGGCCCATGTTTGTCGCACAGCCAGTCACTTGGTTGAACTGTATCGAGCCTCAAAAGAAAGACAGGGAAGAATTGCCCCCGAAACAAATCACGCTGCCCATGATGACACATTTGACGATGTGATGAATGAAAATATCACACACCTGGATGCCGATGATCTGCTTGATATAGGTGATGATGTTAAATAATAAAATGATGTTGTATCTCTTTTGTTATTTTGATGTTTTCTGCCCCCTTTTTGTATTACCCTCTATAATATAAGTCTATTTTGATTATGTTACTAATACATGTCTTTTATTATTTTTACCTTCTTGCAAAGATATGGATGCCAAATATTTTGAAGCCGATGACAACATCTGCCTTATCGACAGTGCTACGACTCACAGCATTCTGAAAAATAAAAGTTATTTCTCCCATCTTAATATGGGAAAGACCACAATTGTTACTATCAGTGGTGCATCGAAAATGATTGAAGGCTCAGGAAAAGCTATTGTATATCTCCCAAAATGGACAAAAATGGCAATTTAAAATGCCTTGTTCTCGAGCAAAGCTCGAAGGAATTTACTGAGCTTCAGTGATATTCAGAAAAATGGGTATCACATTGAAATATTGAATGAGACAGAAAATGAATATCTTTTGATAACTCAGGTTGTGAATGGTAAAAGAATTGTGAAAGAAAAATTGTCATCATTTTTTTCCGGCTTATATTGCTCAAAAATCAGTGCCATTGAAACATATCACCTAGTAGACCAAATGACTACTAGCGAATTTAAAACTTGACACGATCGACTTGGGCATCCTGGCAATGTAATGCTGAGGCGAATTGTTAAAAATTCAAATGGCCACTCATTAAAAAAGAAAAATATTTTGAGTTCGAGTGAATTTGCTTGTGTTGCATGTTCCCAAGGGAAGTTAATAATCAGGTCATCTCCAACAAAGGTTGGATTTGAATCCCCAACTTTTCTGGAAAGAATTCAGGGTGATATTTGTGGACCAATAGATCCATCATGTGGACCCTTCAAGTACTTTATAGTACTAATTGACGCGTCAACGCGATGGTTACACGTATGTCTGTTATCTACTCGCAATCTAGCTTTTGCTAGACTATTTGCACAAATAATTAAATTGCGAGCACAATTTCCAGATCACCCGATTAAAAAAATACGTCTAGATAATGCTGGAGAGTATTCATTACATACATTTGATGATTACTGCATGTCAATTGGGATTACTGTAGAACATCCTGTTCCCTATGTACATACGCAAAATGGCCTGGCTGAATCTCTTATCAAAAGATTGCAATTAATTGCTATACTATTATTGATGATGTCTAAACTTCCTGTATCATGTTGGGGACATGCTATATTGCATGCAACAACTCTCGTGAAAATAAGGCCAACCAGTTATCACTGTTATTCCCCCACTCAATTGGTTTCTGGAAAAATACCAAATATATCTCACCTGCGAATATTTGGGTGTGCTGTTTATGTTCCAATTGTGCCACCTCAATGCACGAAAATGGGACCTCAAAAAAGGTTGGGTATATATGTCGGGTATGAATCACCCTCGATCGCAAAATATCTTGAACCAACAACGGGTGATTTATTCACTGCGAGGTTTGCAGACTGTCATTTTGACGAATCACATTTTC